ATCTATCTATCTATCTATCTATCTATCTATCTATCTATCTATCTATCATCTATCTATCCATTCATCCACCCACCCCATCTATCTATCCATCTATATATCTCTACCATCTGTCTGTCTATCTATCTGTCTGTCTGTCTGCCTACCCATCCACCCATCTAATCTATTTATCTATCTATCCATCCATCCACCCATCTTTATCATCTATCAATATCTCTCTATCTATCCACCTTCCTACCTCTACCTCTTCCTACCTCTATCTACCTATCTCTCTACCACCTCTCTCTCTTTCTCTCTCACCCCTCCATCCATCCATCCCAAAGGCAATCATGTCTGCTGGATTATAATAACAGCTACCAACTCTTGGTGCCCTCTGGGTCCGTGGTAGATTAAGAACTGTTGATGATCATCTTCAATTATGGATTCTCTTCTCTGTGACACTTTCTCCATGCTGCCCCAGTAGACTTCCAGAAGCTGTGGTAACTTCTCGGCCAAACCCCAAGGTCAATAGTGTCCTCCTTCCTGCTTAAATTATGGGATGCAGCTGCCAGCTAGTCTAGTCCCTTAGGACATGCCTTCCTCTTTATTTCCATTGTAGCAGGCAAAGTGTTGCAGACCGTGGCCCAGGGCTGTGAATCCAGTGTAGTCTGCGATGCTCCGAAAACCCACTTGAACATGGGGAATGGGAAAATCCTTCAAGGAAATTTGGTTTGTTGCACTGGGGATGCTTGTAAAACAACCATCCCTTCATGTAAGTGTGTATGTTTTCTTGACATCTCTCTCAATATTTGCTTTTTTTGCATTTTAATGTACAAGCCAGTCAATCACCCTCATTGCCACCCAATGCTTTACAGAACTAAAGTGCTAATGAAAACTGATTTCCTCCTCGGAACCTGGTAGAAAAACACCTGTCTCCACCAGAGGAGAAGAAAACTTTGGAGAAGATTGGAAGACACAACATTGGCATTGACAAAATCCCCAGCCTGATTAATTGATTCTCAACGTCAGGAAATTTCTCCTTCCAACACTGGAGGTTTTAAATAAGAGATTGGATGGCCATTTGTCCAAAATGGTATAGACCAGTGGTGGCTAACCTTTTTGGGCTCCTGTGCCAAAAATAGCGCATGCGCTTGCATGCTCGTGCTCATGTGCCAGCACCCAGAAGGCAATGCATGTCCCACACATCCCCTACACATGCGTGCGCAATCCCACCCATCCCTGCCATCCCCTTACTTGCACTGAGCCTCACAGCTGATTTTCGGCCGGTTTGAGGCCTTTTTCAGCCTCCCAAAGGAAGGCTTCTGTAGGCTTCTGCAGGCCGAAAACTAGCCCCATTTTGTCACTTCCGGTATTTTCGGAAAAACAGGAAGTGATGAAACGGGGCTAGTTTTCGGCCTGCAAAGCCTGCAGAAGCCTTCCTCAAGCCTTTGGGAGGCTGAAAAAGGCCTCAAGCCTGCTGAAAATCAGCTGTGAGGCGTGCACATATGCAGTGAGGTAAGTCTGCCTGCAGCTTGCATGCCAGCACAAATGCCTTTGCATGTCACCTGTGGCATGCGTGCCATAGGTTCACCATCACAGGTATAGGCTTTCCCTCTTGAGCAGAAGATTGGACTAGAAGACCTCTAAAGTCCCCTCCAACTCTGTTATTCTGCTACCTTTTGCAATTGACTACTGAGGATTTTGTCAATGCCGAAGGTGTGTCTTCCAGATCTTTCCTTGATCAGCTTTCATCCATTGCTTCTTGTCCTGCCTTCGGGTTCTTTGGAAAATAGATTGACTCCTCTTTCTTTGTGGCAGCACCTTAAACATTGGAAGACTGCTATCCTGTCACCCCGAGTCCTTCTTTTCACTCGACTAGCCATGCCCAGTTCCTCCAACCGTTCTTCATATGTTTTGTCCTCTAAGGTAGCCCAAACCCACCCCGAAAGTATCGTTATTGTGGAGAAAATAGGAGAAGGATAGAATATTAGATACACTTGCTTCCCTGAGTTGTTTAGAAAACACAGTAAAGATGGGATATCAATTAAATAAATAACGTAATATTGATAAATTTACCATCAGCGGTGGTGGGATTCAAAAAGTTTTTACCACTAAGATGCTGAGCTTGTCGATCAGGAAGGTCGGCAGTTCAGCGGTTCGAATCCCTAGCACCATGCAATGGAGTGAGCTCCCATTACTTGTCCCAGCTTCTGCCAACCTAGTTTGAAAGCACGTAAAAAAATGCAAAAATAGGGACCCCTTTGGTGGGAAGTTAACAGCATTCCATGCGCCTTTGGCATTTAGTCATGCCGGCCACATGACTACGGAGACGTCTTCGGACAGCGCCGGCTCTTCAGCTTTGTAACGGAAATGATCACTGCCCCCCCAGAAACGATTCGCACATATGTGCAAGGGGAACCTTTACCTTTACCCTCTCTGAATGTTAAACTGTCTGGGAATCTTCTCTCCCCCCCACCCCCCACTTCTGTTTTCAGTACCTTCAGTAGAGACTAACACCAATGGAAAGCGTTGCCCTGCCTGCTTTTCTGAAACAGGTACATGCAAGGAAGAATTTACAAACTGTACCGGGGATGAAAATTACTGCTTCCATCTCTTTATGCGTTCCTATGGAGGTGAGTTCCGTTTCCCATGCTTGGGAGCTTCCTTTGACGGCTGGGGTCAAACGTGGGAAATCAGGATTCCAGGAAGGTCAAATGAACATATGGGTTTATTGCAAACTTAAGTTCTCTCGGAGTGGTGTGGTGGCCTAGAGGTGGAAGTCTCGCCTCACAATCAGGAGGCTGTGTGTTCGATCCTAAGTAGAGGCAGACATTTCTTTCTCTGGGCACCCTGAGAATATATTTGCTGAACAAAACTCTGCATTGGCGACAGGTAAAGGCATCCGGCCATTCAACACTCTGCTAGCTCCATTCAATTGCCCAGACTCCACCCCGTAAAGGATTATGTGGTCATTAAACGACGACGATGATGATGATGATGATGATGATTGCAAGCTTAAGTTCTCTACAAGAATCTGAACTACTAACAGTCAAAGCCAGTTGGTGGTAGATAAAAATTCATAGAGGGCTGGACTTAGATCTCTGGTGGGCACAAAGGGACTCGAGACTGATGACCTGCTTGACCCCTCCTTTGGGTTCAGCCTGGTCATCTCCTACATCTGGATTCCATCTAATTTGAAATAGCTATTGGACTAGGAAAACTCCAATCTCTCCACTTGTACCTTCGTACTTCACGCTATTTATTTTGACTTAATGGAGAGAAAACGGGTTGAAGACCAACCACCGGCAGATTCCTCCATGTGATTCCATCAGAATTGCTTCTTTTGTCTTCCATGTCCAGATGGGGTGCTCTGGGACACAATCATGAAAGGCTGCACCACCAAGTCAACATGCCGTTACATCAGCGACGGGGACTTGTTCATCCTTCAACGTCGCAACACAGTGATTATAACAGCCTCGTGTTTGGTGGCTGCTTCGAAGAGGCTTTACTCTTGCCAATTCCACCCCCTGTATTTTTCTGGGTTCCTTTTTTTTCTCGGGACCTTTCTCTAAAAGTCATTTGTTATGGGGCTGCATCAGCTCTGCAATTGAAGCAGTTATTATCTATTTAGGTTTCCTTTTCGCCTTTGTAATGTCATGAATTTCCCTCTTGGCATTGGCTCTCTGTTTTCTTCTGTAAAAAAATAAATGACATGTTTAAGCAAACATGTGACGTGCAGTCGGATTTCTATCGGCTCTGGGAAAAATTAGGGAACAATGAGATTCTTGAACTTGATACCTTGAGATGCAGATACGGCCTCAAAAGGAATTAGGAGTGGGACATTTCTCCACATTTCCCCCCCCCCTCAAGCAGAGGGACAAAGTCAAAGAAGGGCTCTGTGTTCTGACCTAGGCTTTCCCCAACAGCACGAAGCCGACTCTTGGTCCAGATAAACCCCTTTTATTTAATTTACAGTGAATTTCTCTCCAGCAATGTCCCGGCCAATAGTCTTTCATGATATTTCACAATTACAGACCTTTATCAGGCTTGGGGAGTTGCCAGGCTGATATCTTTCAGATGCCACACACTGTAGCAGACAATACCGGCAATACCTCACTCTAATTGTCTCTTGCAAAACCCAATTCCCCTTTTGCTCCCTTTTTATTCCCTATGGGAGGGACCATTCACTGTCCACCTGTGGCTTTACTCCCAAGTCGACCCTTGTTCTTTAGCTAGTCCCTTGCTCGGGCAGCTCTGCGCATGTGCACACTGGGAACAGGCTCCAGCTGTTCTTCTGCCTCACTGATGTCTGACTCCGAAGGCAGCTGATAACTATCAGAAGACCCTGGCCCCATCTCTGCCTCTGATGTAGACCAGTCATCAGAGCCTCCCCCAGACTCCAGGACTGGTCCATGTTCCTCCCCAACCTCCTCACTGTCTGAATCTGCTGCCAGCTCTGCTGGCCTCTGGCATATCCAATAGAATATCCAAACTCCTGCCTGTGATTCCCGACACCAAATGCAGACCCTAACTGAGCTGCACCTGAGAGACCATCCATGCAATCCCGGTGGGAAAAAAGCCCGGGGTTTTAAGAGCTTTGTGTATCCGATGGGGATGCTGCTGTATAGGATTTTAGACTTCGTTTGTCTAAGGTCTGAGGTTCTCAGTCGTCCAGGTCACGGTTGTCCCAAATGTGCTTTTTTTCAAGAAGTGACTGGGCTTTCTGGATTTTTTTTGAAGACAGAATAGAGTAACGGAATAACAGTTGGAAGGGACCTTGGAGGTTTTTTAGTCCAGGGGTCACCAACCTTTTGGACCTCAAGGACCACTAAACTCATAATTTTAAATCCCGCGGACCAGAGACCCTGGGAAAATCCCCCCAAAAGTCTGCAGAAAAATTCCCCACCCTGTTTTCCTACCGATCGATCCTTTTTTATTTGGGATTGCAGGATTCTTTCTCCAGCTCTGTTTTCAGGGGAAGGGGGGGAGAGATAGAGATAGAGATAGAGATAGATAGATAGATAGATAGATAGATAGATAGATAGAGAGAGAGAGAGAGAGAGAGAGAGAGACTTTTGGCTTCATGCAAGGAAAGCAGCAGAAACAGCAGAAGTCTTTCTTTCTCTCCCCCAAACTCTGCCAGAAATGAGACTTTGCTGGTGCAGCCTTTTGGAGCAAGGAGGCCTTGCAGGGACCCAAAGACTCATTTCTGGCAGAGTTTGGGGGAGAGAAAGACTTTTGCTGCTTTCCTTGCGTGCAGCCAAAAGCAGAAGAAGAAAGAAGCGGAAAGAAGCAGCCTGGTGGCCAGGCAAGGCACGTGGGGTGAATGGCACAAATTCCCCCCGTCTGCCCTTTCCCTCCTCCCCTCAATACTTCATGTTGTTCTCAATGCAAGCAATGCAAGCCTTGTGTTCCTGTGGGCCATGTGGGCGGCACAGGCTTGTGTTCCCACACAGCTTGGATTAATTGCTTTGGGGGTGACATTTCTCTGCGGACCACCAAAATTTTCTCGTGGACCACCAGTGGTCCCCGGCCCACTGGTTGGCGACCACTGGCCTAGTCCAACTCCCTGCTTCGGAAGCCTGCTGTCCCACTGCTCAGGAAAAGCTATACCATTTCAGACAAATGGTTAACATGGGCTCTAGAAAAAGTCCATTTATATTTACTCAGTGTCAGACAGTATAAATACCCCACAATAGGGGGCCTGTGGTTATCTCACATTTGTTATGGAATTCAGGAACAATGGTGAGGTTATTCTGATGATCCAGAGGTGGGATTCTACAGGTTCGCACCTATTCGTTAGAACCGGTTGTTAACATTCTAAGCACTTCAGAGAACCGGTTGTTAGAAGAAATTCCTGGCCTAATCCTGTAAGGAAGGCAGGAAGGAAACATTCTGGTGTTGCTTACAGAAACTGCCTCTCCGTTAACCCTTATTACATTCTTGGCAGGACTGGACTTCCTGTCTCTGGAACTTCTCTGGAGTTTTTTTTCCCCTCCTTTGCTGGTACTTTGCTTGTGTTGAGTGACCATTCAAAGTTACAATGGCACTGAAACAAGTGACTTATGACCATTTTTCACACTTACGACTGTTGCAGCATCCCCACAGTCATGACAGGCCAGGCGAGGAGATGTGTGCCTTGATGTGAGTGATATTGAGTTGGCCACACCCAGCCAATCACATGACCACCAAGCCACACCCACCAACTAAGCCACGCCCACAGAACTGGTTGTTAAAATTTTTGAATCCCACCCGTGTGATGATCAATGTTCTAATTTATTGCTTTTCCACTGATTTGGTTCCCGTAAGGATTGATTGACCTATTCTTTGTGAAGAAAGACTTAAGACTGCATAATTTCTTCATACAAGTTTGACACCAACAAGATTGGGCACTTTTTGTAAACAGCTGAGGTAACAGCCCATTAGGATCCGACAGGATTCAGAGCCATAAAGATAATATCTTGGAACAAGCCTCAAAATTGCATCAGAGACCAGGAAACTTCCCTGAGGCCCAGTGAGCAATTTTTTTTAAATTGGGCCTCAGGGAAGCTTCCTGGGAGCAAAAACAGGGCACGGGGGAACGCACAACAGCACCCACACACTCCATTTTGTGCCTCCTGGGCCTCAAGGAAGCCTCCTGGGCGAAGCAGTACAACAGCAAGAGGGGCATCAGCTGACGATTTCCTGCATTCTAGCTAATCTAAATCCCTCGCCACAGCTGATCTTCAGAAAACAGCTGATCACTGGGGGTGGGTGGGAAGGAAATACTTTGATCTTCAGTGTGTACCGGTTCTCTCCCAGATGATCTTTGGAGCTACTGGTTTGCCGGAACTGGGCCGAACTGGTAGAATCCCACCCCATGATCTAAACCAGAGCTGAAGAAGCTTCTTGAATGAGAAACTAAATGAGTGGATCAATGACTCTTGTTGCTAACTCATAAGTCATATGAAAAAAGCAACTGGGTAGTGTCTGTCTGATTCCACCTAGCCATTCAAATAGGTCAAATAAGAGTCTTTTAGCTTCATTGTTTGTTAATATAGAAACTTCAAAAACAGACAGAAAAAAAAAAACCTCAGTGGTTCATCAAGTCATAAACTAGACCAAGTTCAACGTTTCAATGTATTTTTGAGCATCAAAGCAAGGAAGTGGCTCACTTCCTTTGGCTGAAAGGAAACAGGTCTGAAGTAGAGGTTGCTTTATTAGAGATATCGGTTTATAGAAATAGCGAGTCCAAAAAGAAAAAATAAGAAAGAAAAGCAGGCACGGATGCCATGCTTAAATGCTGATATCGCCTTCATGAAAATGCTAAAAGCAAAGTCTGAAACAGGGGTAGGATGCAAATTTTTTAAGTACCGGTTCTGTGGACGTGGCATGGCTTTAGACGGGTTTTCTTTCAGCCAAAGGAAGCGAGCAACTTCCTTACTTTGATGTTCAAAAATACTAACCCTTTCATGTACCCGCAATCGAACCCCAGGTCTGTATTCCGCACTGTTTGATTCATTGCTGTCTGACACCTCCCACATACGGAATGTGTGTATGGGTTTGTTCTCAGGCAGTCCTCGACTTAAAGCGGTTTTATTTGGCGACCATTCCATGTTATGGTACTTTAAAAAATGAAATATTTTTCGCACTTATAGTTGTTGCGGCATCCCCTGTGGTCACGTGATCAAAATCCAGAAGTTTGGCAACTGGTACGGGCTCCCCTGGGGAAGCCTGAAACTCGTCACTTAAGAAGTCCCAACAGGCGGGAACCACAACAGAAAAGATTCTCTTTCTGGGATCCCGCCAGATGGCCGTCTTCAGTGGGCAGGATCGAGAGAGAATGCCAATCTGGTGGTTTTAGAGGCAGTCCCTGAAACAACCAACTCCATGCCATGATGGGCTTTATAGCCAATTACCGGAGCCTTGAATGAACTTATGCTTTATGGTGAATTATTTCAACTTTTATTATTAAAGTGGAATGTTTTGCAAAGTTGGCTACGGTTGACTGGGCCTACAACCATAATCAAAATCGATGAATCAATAAATGAATCAATCCACACCCACTCAAATCTTCTCTCCCTATCTCTACTTTCTGTTTATCTGTCTATCCTCTATCTCTATCCCTCACTATTAATCGCCTGTCTGTCTGTCTGCTGTCTGTCTATTTCTGTCTCTCTGTCTATATCTGTATTGTCTGTCTGTCTATCTATCTATCTATCTATCTATCTATCTATCTATCTATCTATCTATCTATCTATCTATCTATCCACCCATTCATAATTATCTATCTATCATCTATCTATCTATCTATCTATCTATCTATCTATCTATCTATCTATCTATCTATCTATCTATCATCTATCTATCTATCATCTATCTACTCTCTCTCTCTCTCTCTCTCTCTCATATCCTCATCTCTTTCTCTTTCTATCCTCTCTCTTTCTCTCACTCATCTCTGTCCTGCCTGTCTATCCTCTATCTATCCACTTTCTCTGTTAGATCTACCTACCTACCTATCTCTCTTTCTCTCTCCCATCTATTTCTCCCTCTTTCTCATGCCCACACAGACTTATAAACCTATGGGCTACTTACAGATAAAAGTACTGTCCCTTTAAGTGCAATAGAACCTGACAGATGACAGTTAACATCAGTTAAAAACACCTAAAGCACCGGGCTGAGAGGATTGAACAAGGAGAGATGCCAAAAACCATCTGTTAATAATGGTAAGATAACA